TTATTTATATCGATATCTTTTTTTTAATATTGTCGATTTTTCATTTGAATACATTTATTTATTCTAGAAACATAGTTGGCTTACACTTAGAGGAATGTCGGCACTATGTGTTGCAAATATACGAAGGGAAAGTGAGAGAAAGAGAGAGTGAGCGTGCGAGAGAGAGAATAAAAAGGTTGTCAGTGATGAAATATGTAATACTATGGAGTGAACAAAAAAAAGAGAGAGACATAGAGAAAGGAAGAGAGAAAAAGAAAGAGGAGATTACTGTGAATATAGAAAGTTATGCAAAGAGCGTGAGGGAGTGAGAGAAAAGGATAGATATGTGAAGTGAGATAGAAAGAGAGAGAGAGAGAGAGAGAGACAGCGTGAGGGGGACGGTCTGAATAGAGAACGATAAAAGAGAGTGGAAGACACAGAGAGAGGGGGTAAATTACTTTTTTTTAAAGCGTACGTACTGTAATTCTGTTTGGCGTTAATTCATATACTTCAACACAGAGTTAACACCCTTCTGGCTCTCAACAGACTATAATGATGAATAAGAGAGGGAATTATGAAAGATAGGTGATTTTAAAGGTAATACAAAGTTTTGGAGAATTTTGAAAATTGGGTGGATAGTGTATCTTTACAATTTTGATATATTTGGATGCCCCTGTGGATGTATTATAAGCACTAACAAAATTAGCCCCTAAAACACTTCTGTTTTCGAGAAAAATTGAATATAACAATTTACCGGTGCTCCCGGTAAATTTTGATAAATTTCAAAAAGCGCCTATGGCCGTACAATGGTAGCTGCGACCATGAAAATCTCAGAATATGTAGTTGTGATATATAATTTCCAAACGGGAATAGCTAATTGGTCGATTTTAGTCAAGAAACATTGTTTCAAAGCTAAATTAATATCTTGACCTTGAGAGGGAGCTATACAACTTAAAGAGTTATTATTTACAATTTCATAACTTCAGACTCGATTTCAACCGCGACAACGATCAATGAATTTTGTAGGAACGCACATGCTTCCAATATTTTAATTTGAAACGAATTCATGACCCCATACCAAAACTTTGTAATACCTTTAAGAGAGAGAAAATGATCAGTTACAATTACGTTTAAAGGTAATGGGAAACGCCCCAATTTCAAAAAATGAAATGGAAGCTCCTATTACCACTCATGTGAAAGAATATGTTTTAACTAATACATTTTAATAACAATTTTGCCGGGAAACCACCTACTAATATATTTGGTAAATTAGTTTATCTATTGTAATGTCAGAGATAAACGCACGTGTAGCGCACGTGCGCGTAGTCCCATTTACATCTTTCTGGGCAATCACCCCCGGAATATTACCCCCCGGAAAACTACCCCCGTAGGACGATTACCCCCCGAGGACAATTACCCCCCAAAGGGCAATTACCCCCCCCCCCCCCCCGGAAAATTACCCCCGGAGAATTAACCCCCGAGGACAACTAACCCCCGGGGACAATTCCCCCCCCCCCGAGGACAATTACCCCCCAAGGACAACTACCCCCAGGACAATTACCCCCCGAGGACAAAGGGAAATTACCCTGCCCCCGGAAAATTACCCCCCGGAGAATTACCCCCCGAGGACAACTACCCCCCGGGGACAATTACCCCCCGAGGACAATTACCCCCCAAGGACAACTACCCCGAGGACAATTACCCCCCAGGACAATTACCCCCGCGAGGACAGTTACCCCCCGAGGACAATTACCCCCCAAGGACAACTACCCCCCGAGAACAATTACCCCCCCCCCTGCGAGGACAATAACCCCGGAGGACAACTAACCCCAATATAACACTGTGATGTAAAATGCAAGTTTCTCCCTTTTTGCAGCCAACCTCAAATTCTGTAGAACTTTGCAGGAATTATGAATATGTCATGTATGTCCTGTCTGTGAAATTTAAACGTCAGCAGTGTCCTCATATTCAAATTATGCAAGGAAACCCGTTTACTTGCTAGACTTCACTGTCAGACACTGTTGAGTGACTGACTGGCTTTTTTCTTCTTTGGTAATAACATACATGAAAAGAGTTGTAAAGGGTACAGTGAGCATTTGTCTACATCAATAACCCACTTCTTGTGATAGCCAAGATTAAACTGATTGAATCTTTGCGCAGCATAAAACGTATAACCATTCGGTACAATTGTCTGAAAATCAAGACTATTACTTTGGGGCTTTATAGCCCTAAAGTCGATTTGACAACTAATAGTCGTTATTTTCCCACTTGAAGACATTTTCAAGCCTCACCTTTTTTAGGGAAGTTCTAAATTAGTATTATCTTTCAAATGCACACGGAATTTAACTATTTCATTTCTTGGCCTGCAAATGGGACATAGTACCTTTAATTGCTATTTACAGAAAATTTCATAAACCTTTATTTTCTTTGTTATTATGAAGTTCATTTCAGTCTTTTCAAATTATTCAATTCGATATAGGGGGGGGGGATAGAGATTGCCCAATTTCCCCGTAGTTTTGCTACCGAGAAAAGAACAGAAATTACATTTCTTAGAAATTGAACAATACATTGCGCCTAGATAAGTACGCGTTACAGCCTCTCTCACCAACAATGGCACATCAAAGAAATTAGGATGTAAGATTTCCTTTATGCATCCTCTTTAACTTTTTTAATCAGCTGTTCGTATATTTGTCGTTGGATGTATAATGGACCCTCATCCATGATCCAAAATTAAGGTTTTCCTCACGTTATCTATTTATTTCTGTTGTCATGCTGAAGTATAATATGTTTTTTTGTACATTAAATTATTTTGAAATAGAAATTGCCTTCAAGTTATATGTACGGTGCCATGTCAAAAGAAAATAAATATCCGCTCTCTGGTAATTCATTTTATTTGATTTTGTAACTCCAGTACAGCGTTTTTCAACCGGGGTGCCGAAAGAGAATGATTTGGAAAACGTTGACACGTTTAAAAAACAATTACCTAAAACTTACATCCTTCGTGGAAATACGCAGCCGCACTGGCGTTGCATAAAGTATAATAAAAAAGTGATAGTAATGAGGAAGACAACGTGCTATAGTATTTGAACGAATATGGGGTCATGCAGGGGATCTTATAGGCTCGTAGCCATCTCCCAATGTGTCAGATTGTCTGTTGCTATTGAATCCTGATTATCCACGGGGGTAGTTGTCCTCGGGGGGTCATTGCCATCGGGGGGGGGGGGGGGAAATCGTCATCGGGGGGTAATTATCATTGGGAGGTAGTTGTCATCGGGGGGTAATTGTCCTCGGGGGTAGTTGTCCTCGGGGGGTAATTCTCCGGGGGGGTAATTTTCCGGGGGGTTATTGTCCTTGTGGGTAGTTGTCCTCGGGGGATGATTCTCCGGGGGGTAATATTCCAGGGGGTAATTGTCCTTTGGGGGTAGTTTTCCGGGGGGTAATTTTCTGGGGGGTGATTGCCCAGGGAGTAATTGTCCTAGAACCATCTTTATGTGTACAGTGCTTAAGACTGGGCCAAATTTCTTATCATTTTATGATTCCAGAACCTTGCACTACACACCAATACTTATATGCTAGATGATCAACCTTTTCTGATCGATTCCGCAATGTTTCTTTCACAATGCAATCGCATGACCATAACTGGTCTTTATCTTTAAACGCATCAAGTACACTGTCGCTCATATAGTTGGAATATGTCTTTTTTTACCCCAATTTATGGAAATATTTTGACAATGATTTATTCCTAATAGATCTAGATAATACTATACATTCTCAGATTTTATTGTATAATAATGTGCCAGTGTTTGTTTTGCATGACTGCTAAAGCATGTGTTTGCTACTATGCTTATCAACTAGGGGACCGACGCCCTTAAGTCATAAATGACAGTAATGAGGATTAGTGCCCCACAAAAGGGCACTAATATAGCACATCGGCAAGGTTTTGATCATGGGGCCTCATAGTTACGAGGCAATTGCTTTGCCACTGAACTATGACTGTACGCAGCGGGGGCTAGGGTAGGGGGCAGTTCCCATAATAAAAAAAGAAAAAAAGAAAATGCAATGAATTTTCAATAACTCATTGAAGTTCCCCCCGGTCCCCAAAATAAAAAAAAATCCTTTGTACGGCCATGCATTATGGCTCAAGGCATGGGCACACAGAAGATTTGTACTATATGAGAGTACTATTTGGGAGTAGAAGTTTTATTTGGGAGTTGACTTTTTGTATTATTATATTTGTTTTAAAATCTTATTTTAATAATTTGTTTTTTATTTGTAATTCTTTTTATAATTAAAATTATTGTTTTTATTCTTTTGTTGTTGTAACATAAATTTTTGATCCAGGATATAAAACAAATATACCATGCCTTCTTTTCGAGGTACTGGTTAAAACTATGTGTCTCGGTGACTCCAAAAGTACCATTTGCTTTGGGGCTGCACCCCTCAGCAAATAGCACTATTGGAGTCACCTCTTGGGCATAGTTTTAACTAGAACCTCTCAAGACAGTATATATTTGTATACTATTGAGTGTAGCAGCCTCAATATACGCACATCATTGACGTTTTGCATGATTATTATAAAACAGTGCATGCTGATCCAGTATACTCTGGCTGGAGCGAGGGCGTGGGAGGGGGTCCACAATTCCGTGTAATCAACCCCCCTCTCCCAAAAATCAAAGGAGCAACCTCCCCCTCCCCCCCCCTCCCCCAAAACATCTCCGTTTTGAATGGCCTTGTGAATGAAGACAACACATTTATTATGACGTGTAACGCTGAAATATTATTATTCAAAGATTTTTTTTCATTTGGATCTATTTACAAAGCGCAGCGGGGCTTATCCTTTTTCAATACACCTTCATCATGTCACAATTGTACATATTTCCCCCTCTACTTGTCTATTTCTGCAGGACATGCAAGCATGTGTGAAAAGTATTGCTTTGTAAAGAAAATCGCGGAGTCATGTTCGGTTTAGTTTGGGTGGTATACTGTGACGCCATCTCGATTTGCACAAATCACCAGTACATTATCGAAAATTTCTTATTCAGGCACATTTTAAACATCAAAGGACAGCCGTTCAAGGAGGTGAAATTTCTTTCGGATTTCAAAATACGAAGGTGAAAATAGCAACTCAGATGATTAGGAACTGTGCTATGTGGTTTAATGTGATCAGGTTGTGAGTAATTGATAGAACGGTTTTAAAACGAACATAACACGAGTATGCACTTTCTTAAGTTAGCTCATTGATGACTGACAGATGATGTCACAAGGGGAATGAGATCTGGAAGTTTTGGGGGTGGAGCTTAGCAAGTTTGAAAAACAAATATTTCAACAACAAAAAAATCTATGAAACAAGTTTACATATCAAAATATGAGATGTAACCAACAGGAATAAACTTGTATTTCGATGTCTTGGGCCCTTTAAGTCTTTTGTCAACTATGTTTGATAGTACGGTAGGCAGCTAGTGAAAACGAACTCGTTCAATCAAATTATGGAAATGCAAGCATTATGCCCAGGTCACATTTGCCGCGGCGGCCGTGCGGTCTCAAATATATACGGCATATAGCAATTATAGGACCACCGCAGCATTTCCACGGTTACATACGGTAACGGCCACATAATTTTAGGGCTGCAGGGCGTATTTTGAATTTGTGGAGAAAGAAAATCTGCGACTGCCGTACGGCCTTTGAAGTGATGACGCACGGCGCCCACATGGGGGTCCATACGGCGACTGTGAGGCTAGACTGATGCTACCGCTTCACCCCTGGAGTTTATTAAACGCAATGCTACCGTACGCCCGACGTACGGTCGCCGTCGAACCGCTCAACGGCATGGCTACGGTGTGTCTAATCGCTACGGCGAACCTAGAAATGAAAACAGTTATAAGTCCGCGTTATAATCCGTAAAGATAGGGATACGCCCTAGGGTGACCCTGAGGCCACCGCAGATTCTCTGCGGACGCCGCAAGTATCTCTTGATTTTGGGGGAGTACGGCTGCCGTATCCTAGCCGTAGAGCAAATGTGACCTAGGCGTAACTTTAAACAAACAGAAGTTTGTTATTCCTGGGAATCCTGGCTCATTTTCCCTGATTGAAGTGTCATATGAAAGGACAGAAATTGAATGGCTGATCGTCAACGAAACGGAGTAAAGTCTTTTGTCAACTCGTTTGTTACGACGGCAGGCAGCCAGTGAAAACGAACTCGTTTTATAATCAAATTATGGAAATGCAAGCATTATTTTAAAAAAACAGAACTTTGTTATTCCTTGCTCAATTTTCCTGATTGAGGTGTCATATGAAAGGACAGGAATTGAACTTTATAGAAACGTGATTTTGTCCATGAAATTCAGATACCGCCCGCCAAATGACTTTTTGGTTTCCTCTCTTCAAATTGTTTTAAATCTTTCATGCGTGAAATATGCATCATGAGTTGCATTAAATGAAAGAGGAGGATCTAAGCTTTACAAAGATGTGTCATTTATTATATATAATTGTGATTAAGTTATGATAAACATCAATAATTCTCGGTTTCGTTTTTTCCGGGACGCACTGTATATTAGTAACATAATTGCCTTACACACAAAGGAATGTGGTCAATTTGTTATGAAAATATACACAGGGAAAGATAGAGAGAGAGAGAGAGAGAGAGAGGGAGAGAGAGAGAGAGAAAAAGGCGCGCGCGAGAGAATAAAAAGGTTGTCATTGATAAAATATGTAATACTAAAGAGTGAACGGAAAAGAAGAGAGACATAGAAAAAAGGAGGAGAGAAAGAGATAGAGGAGATTACTGTTAAAGCTTATCAACACTAGTGTGGCCAGGAGGGATTAGACCACACAGCGAGGTCACTGACAGGTGGCTATCTCATCAACTCAGCTCTCAAATAACATAAGAAATAGAGGATCATGGGGGACCAACAGGCATCGATTGGGGAAGTTTTCTATATAGAGGGAGCAAGTAGCTACAAGTAGGACAGTGGGGCTTTAATAGAGAAAGTTATGCAAAGAGGGTGAGAGAGTGAGAGAAAAAGATAGATATATAGAGTGAGAAAGATGAGAGAGAGAGAAGACGGATGTGAGTAGAAAAGATATGTATAGAGAGTGAGAGATAGAGGGGGGGGTAATAACTATATAAATATGTGCAAATAGACAGCTTAAAGAAGAGACGGATATGAATAGAGAAATATGTGTTCAGAAACTGAGAGGGAGAGAGAGAGAGAGAGAGAGAGATACAGAGAGAGAGAGTGAGAGAGAGAGAGAGAGAGAGAGAGAGAGCGAGGGTCAATTACTAAAGAAAGCGTATACAGTACGTACGGTTTTTTATTTTTTATTTTTTATTTGATTTATTTACCAACAGCAATACATGTTTTCATACATTTTATACAATAATTACATTTACAGGAAGAGAAACTATTAGTTGGTAAAAAAGGGGGGGCCAGATAATAGCACATGTGCTAGTCGAGCCTAACCCCTTAAACAGCTAAACAAAGTATTTTGGTACAAATCAGTTTAGAGAACGTAACAAAACAAAAAATAATTAATTTACTTTTACAATCGATGCTTTAAAAAAAAAAAAGAATCAGTACTCAATAATGTCTTACAATATACAAACTAATAATGTAAAATATGAATTATGAATTGTGTACACTTGATATTTCATTCATGACTTGCTTAACAAATGACTTGTAACAGAATTCCGAAACCTATTTCTAGACCTTGTCAATCTGACATCAACAGGTAATCTATTCCAAAATTCACTGCCCACAAAAGACAATGAAAATTGACCTTGTGTCATTCTTAATTTTGGAAGACGTAATTGTTCATCTTCTTTTTGTCTTGTGGAATAGCTATGTTCTATAATGTCACAGTACTCTATCAAAATATGAGGCAAATTGCCATTGACTAGATCAAACATGAAAGTAGAAATGGATAAATCATGTAAATTATACACATTTAGGATTCGCAATCTTTTAAATAATGGATCTGAAGGAGTTCTCCATTCACTAAATGTTATGGCACGAACTGCCATTTTCTGTGAATATAATATACTTCTTAGGTTAGTCTTATAAGTGCTTCCCCACACCTCTATTCCGTAAGAAATGTGTGGTTGTATAAATGCTTTATATATTATATCAGAGTTCGGCTAGGAACAAAATGTCGCAATCTAAATAGCACTCCAACTTTCTTTCTAATACACTGATTTACAAAACGAATATGACTCTTCCAAGACAAATGTCTATCAATGTGAACCCCAACAAAAGTGGCAACATCAACCTCTTTAATTTCCTCGCCAGCGATTTTTAGTTTACCATTTATACCTATTTTTTTCCTCCTACTACATATTAACATGAAATTAGTTTTCATTGAATTAATTGTAAGTTTGTTAGCAGTGCACCACTTATGTATCTTCTGTATGTTGTTATTCACTTCATTTACATCAATTTCACCCTGGTCAGGAGAAAAAGTATGAAATAGATTGGAGCCATCAGCAAACAGCCGAAAATTGAAATAATCAGTAACAGTTGGCAAATCATTTATATAGATTAAAAACAGAGTTGGCCCTAATACTGATCCTTGTGGAACACCACATCTTATCTTTTTCCTTTCTGATAACGTTTGACCACACTGGACAAACTGAAATCGGTTACTGAGATCCTTAACCCATTCTAGAGGTAACCCTCGAATGCCATAACTAGATAGTTTACCTAGTAATATATTATGATTAATTGTGTCAAATGCTTTTTTAAAGTCGATGAACATACCCAGAGTTACTTTTCCCTGATCTATAGATTTCAAAGTTGAATTTATCAAGTCGATCAAAGACAATTTAGTGCTATATTTCTTTCGGAACCTATATTGATGGTAATAGAATATATCATTTTTTTTCTAGAAATTGTATTAGTCTGATATTTATCAATTTTTCTAAAACTTTACCGATGACAGGTAAAACCGATATTGGTCTATAATTACCTGGATCTTTTCTTGGCCCTTTTTTGTGTAGGGGAGTAACCTTTGCAATCTTTATTTCATCTTGAACCTTGCCAGTTTAAAACCATAAGGGCGTTAACTCATATACTTTAACACAGTATTAACACTCTTCTGGCTCTCAACAGACTATAATGATGAATAAGAGAGGGTACGATGACAGATAATGTGATTGTAAGAGAGAGAAAATAATTGAATTTAAATTGAATTGAATTCGCATTTATTTCATTCTTGATTAAAAATTACATTGATACAAAAGATACAAATTAATTCATGAACAAATTGAAATAGGGAACTACATAAATAAAGCCCTTAGGCCTTGTTCAGGTATATTTCCCAAAGCATTCGTAGCATAATGTAAAGCAAGGATAAACAAAAACAAAGATTAAAAAACATTAATAACAAAAAAAAACAAAAAACAAACAAACAAACATATAACACAAATATAAACATAAGATACGTAACTATACATATTTGAGATAAAGAAACTACTTCAACTTCTAAACGCACCAAGTGTTACAGAGTAACTCTTCACAAAGCACAAATAGCAGAATACATTGACATCGATATGAACATTATGTTAGGTTTCTTTCATAATAGTTGTATACTATTCAGTGTAGCGGCCTCAATATACGCACATCATTGACGTTTTGCATAATTATTATAAAACAGTGCATGCTGTTACGATGTTTTTGACTGGGGCGTGAAAAGTATCTTTGCCTTTGTTAAGCCGTTAGTGGTATCAGATTCGGTTTAGTTTGGACGGACCGGTATTCATTGAAACGCCATCTTGATTAGCACAAAATAATTACCAATACTTCATCAATTATTTCTTCTTCAGGCGAAGTTTAAACATCAAAGGACAGCCATTCGAGGATGTGAACTGTTTGTGAACTTCAAAATACGAAGGTGAGAACAGCAAGTTAAATAATTATGTTGGATGTGCGCTGGATCGTCTTGATGGGGGCGTGGACAATGTATTCTGTCGTAAAAACGGAAGTAAAAGAAAACTGATAAAACGGTTATGAAACGAGCCTTTAAATAATGAAACAAGAATGAAATGGTTATGTAACGAGTATGAGTATTGTAATGGATTAGGAGAAAAATAAATGAAAAGAAATATGAGCTTGGGCACATTATGTATCATTTTGAGAGAGAGAGAAAAACTAAGAAAACAAAACTCATTTTGCTAATGTTGTGAAAGGCTTTCTAATTTTTGTTATCTCTCTCTCTCTCTCTCTTTGATGAATAAAGGCATCTTTATAAAAGATTATCATTGTTATAATTGCTATTCTTTTTAATCATGATCACAATTACAACTCATATCATTTTTTTTAGTAGTAGTAATAGTAGTATTATCATTTTTTTTTCATTATCATCATTATTATTATTATTATTATATTATTATTATTATTATTATTTCCCTGAACTATGTTCTACAGGTCAATATTCTGATCAGTATGGATGACATCAGCTCTCAAGAAGACATCCATGAAGGAGCGAACAGTGAGGCAATCGATGTGAAGAACGAAAAAGCGAGAAAGGGTGGGTCCAATCTGTATTGTGAGAAGCATGTGGAAGTAATCAAACTACATTGTAAAACACATACAGAAGATGTGTGTCATTTATGCGCAACGATATTTCATCGTCCTTGCGAGCTAGATTATATAGGGGGCGAGTTCATCAAGAATAAAAATGAACTAAAAGATATGAAAAAAAGGGCAGAGGAGAAATTAAATCTCCATCGAGATTATGGAGATCAGATTCATCAGTGTAGGAAAGACACTGACACCCATCTACAAGCTTTGAAAGATGAAGTTGATTCGGTAATCAATGAGGCGATCCAAACAGATGAAGACATAGAGAAGGAGGATGCTGCAAAAATCAACCAGGAGATTGATGAGAAGAATAAGCAACTTCAAGAGGAGATTCAAAAGAACAATGAGGAGAGAGATAATCGTCTTGAACTTAACCGTACAAATGCAGAGAAAAGACGAGAACCCATCGACAGTAAACAGCATGGTCTTCAAACAGACATTCAATACATCGCTGGAGAGAAAGATAAAAAGATTGGTGAGTTGGAGAAAACATGGCAAGATGACACAAAAACCACAGAGAATACAATACAGAAACTTGACGCAGTACTAGAAGATGATAAAAAGGTCGCCAAAGATGGGCTTCATGTGAAGATATCAGTGAGTGATGACTTAGAGAAGCCACTGAATGAGGGTGAGGTGAAACAAATCACTGATACCATATCAAATGTGAGGTTTGTGAAGGGTGCTGGGAGAGAGAAGTATGGGAGGATTGATTGGTATGATGGGGAGTGGAAGCTCATTGATAAATTCAAGGTCGATGATACAATCCAGGACGGTGATAAAATCGAACTCCCGTTAATTGTAGGATACAAAGATGAATACAATGTGATTATCACAGATAAACAAGGTAGCCATCATACATACATGTTAAATATGAGCAATAAACAAACTCGGAGAGTAATAACTGGTAGTAATCAATCATGGATTATGTCATTTGCATTGATGAATGATGGCAAGGTAGTATGTGGTAAATTCACTGAAAGGGCTCATTCAGATAAAGTTACGAAATGCATCAGTATGTATGACACACAATGGAACCACATCAATGACGTCACAATACCAACAACCAAGACGCTTGATATGACACGGGTGGGTGTAGCCGTTGGTAAGGATGGGATGATCATCGCTGCTGAGTGGATTCAGAATAACATATACGTCATCAACCCAGCTAATGGTAAGATCATCGATACCATCACATGTAAAGATCTAGATAAGATGCATGGTGTACTATCATCAGGTGACATCGTCGTGTTAGCCCCCTCACACGAATACACAGTGCCAGTGGCCATCATCAGTAGACAGGGCGATCGGAGTGAAATCCCCAGCATTAATGTCACCTGGGAAGCCCGCTGCTGCAGCATTGATCCTACAACAGACGAACTCTACTTCGTGACATCAGAGGATAAGAGGAAGACGTGTGTAGTTGATCAGTTGATGAGGGGGGATGACACGAAGAAGAGAAGAGTAGTATCATTCCCTCTAATTGGCGGTGCCGAACAGCAAGGTCTGAGGTTGGATTACCTTGAAGCATCTCACGTGTTGGTGACGTCACCAGGGAATATGATTGCTTGCGATGGAGCCAACATTCTCGTATACAAAAACACGTTGAGACTTGAAAAGCCCGATCACAATTGATGCGGTAAACCGGTCTTCTTCTGTTTTCTTTTCTTTTCTTTTCACTTTTTTTTTTTCGTGTGCGTGTTTATCTTTTCTTTTTTGTAATGACTAAAATATAATGCGTTTCTAATGTGTGTACTTTAAAGGCTATCTGCACTATGGGGGACTAACGGTCACCGATTCGGCATTGTATGATATATAGAGGGCGCAAGTAGCTATACGTTGTGCGGTAGAGCTTTAATAACACAGATCTCAGTTAGTACACGGAGGTACTCTGTTGCGGGCAGTTGCCATTCATTTACACATTAAAAAAAAAACTCTGCCGCGGTCTATCTCTTTATGTCTAAACAAGTCATGAAACAGTTCGTGTTGCTTCACGCCGACTAAGGAGGCTTATACATTCTGTGCATAACATACCTGTAAGAAGTTCAATATGTAACCCTAAATTTAAAAAAAAAATAGATTTAAAGCCCATAGAACACTACACGATCTGACTACGATTGACAAAACCAATGCTATAACAATGACATAAATTGCAAGTTATTATTAGCATTTGTTCTTGTAATCTATCATAGAATGTAAATAGTCACATCATACTTAGTATTTAAAGACTCATTGTATTGATTTTTCGTGTTGCTAAGAAACAAGTAAGTCATTAAAAAACAATAAGTAGGGCCTGTTATGATAAAACGAATGGTAAACAATGACATGAATTGTACTTTTTTTCTTCTTGTTTGTATAAGCTTACATTTGTGTAATACACTGTACAATATAAATTGTAAATAGCCCATCATACGTAGTATTTTATGACTGTTTTTTTAATGAATTTGTCGTGTTGCTAAGACGCATATTAGCCATTGATATGTAGGGCCCGTTTGACAAAACCAATGCTAAAGCAATGACGTAAATTTCACGTTGTTGTTTGTTTGTATTAGCTTTGTCTTGTAATATATTATGAATTGTAAATAGCCACGTCAAACGTAGTATTTTTAAAATTTCATGGATTTTTCGTGTAGGTCAGAAATGTGATACTTTATGTAGGACCTATTTTTGGCAAAACCAATGCTAATTGCTAAACAATTACAGGAATTGCATCTTGTTGTTTTTATTTGTTTGAGTATTTTAGCTTCTTTTTTGTAATCTATATTGAAAGTAGCTACATCATACTAAATTTATCAAAGACTGGAATTTGAATTGAATATACATCTTACTATGAAAAATGAAACAAAAAACGAAAATGCTTCAATAATGACATGAATTGCACGTTTTTGTAACATTTGTTATCATGTAAATAATTCCATTGTTCTGTATAAAGATTTCTAAGATTCAATTTTGTTGACTTTCATTCTGTTAATGATACATTTTACAGAAATTGCACGTTGTTGTTTTTAATTGTTTGAGTATTTTAGCTTCTTTTTTGTAATCTATATTGAAACTAGCTACATCATACTAAATTTATCAAAGACTGGACTTTAAAATGAATATACATCTTACTAGAAAAAAGGATACAAAAAACAAAAATGCTTTAATAATGACATGAATTGCACGTTTTTGTAACATATGTTATCATGTAAATAATTCCATTGTTCTGTATAAAGATTTCTAAGATTCAATTTTCTTGACTTTCATTCTGTTAATGATACATTTTACAGAAATTGCACGTTGTTGTTTTTGATTGTTTGAGTATTTTAGCTTCTTTTTGTAATCTATATTGAAAGTAGCTACATCAATCTAAATTCATCAAAGACTGGACTTTAAAATGAATATACATCTTACTAGAAAAAAAGGGGGGGGAAAAAGATTTAATAATGACATGAATTGCACATTTTTGTAACATATGTTATCATGTAAATATTTCCATTGTTCTGTATAAAGATTTCTAAGATTCAATTTTGTTGACTTTCATTCTGTTAATGATACATTTTACAGAAATTGCACGTTGTTGTTTTTGATTGAGTATTTTAGCTTCTTTTTTGTAATCTATATTGAAAGTAGCTACATCAATCTAAATTTATCAAAGACTGGAATTTGAATTGAATATACATCTTACTATGAAAAATGAAACAAAAAACGAAAATGCTTCAATAATGACATGAATTGCACGTTTTTGTAACATATGTTATCGTGTAAATAATTCCATTGTGCTGTATAAAGATTTCTAAGATTCAATTTTTTTGACTTTCATTCTGTTAATGATACATTTTACAGAAATTGCACGTTGTTGTTTTTGATTGTTTGAGTATTTTAGCTTCTTTTTTGTAATCTATATTGAAAGTAGCTACATCATACTTTATAAAAGACTGGACTTAAAATTGAATATACATCTTACTATGGAAAATGAAACAAAAGATGAAAATGCTTTAATAATGACATGAATTGCACGATTTGTAACATATGTTATCATGTAAATAATTCCATTGTTCTGTATCAAGATTTCTAAAATTCAATTGTGTTGACTTTCATTCTGTTTATGATACATTTTTACAGAAATTGCACGTTTTTATGCCTCCGCCACCGAAGATGGTGCCGGAGGCATCATGTTTTCGGGTTGTCCGTCCGTACGTCCGTCCCGTTTGACCGTTATCACAATATCTCAAGAACCATTTAAGATTTAAACTTAAGACTCGGGAATAGTATTTATCACCATAGGAAGACGATCTGATTAGATTTTGGAGTACGTAGGTCAAAGGTCACAGGTCACAGAGGTCAACTTATGAAATTCCTTGTATTGAGTTTGTTAGCGCGATATCTCAAGAACCATTTGAGATTTAAACTTCAAACTTAAGGATAGTATGTATCACCATAGGAAGACGATCTGATTAGATTTTGGAGCACATATGTCAAAGGTCAAGGGTCACAGAGGTCAACTTATGAAATTCCATACATTGAGATTGTTATCATGATATCTCAAGAACCACTGGAGATTTAAACTTCAAACTTAGTGATAGTGTGTATCACTATAGGAAAACAATCTGATTACATTTTGGAGCACGTAGGTCAAAGGTCAAGGGTCATAAAGGTCAACTTATGAAATTCCATACATTGAGATTGTTATCATGATATCTCAAGAACCACTGGAGATGTAAAAACTTCAAACTTAAGGATATATGTATCACCATAGGAAGACGATCTGATTAGATTTTGGAGCACGTAGGTCAAAGGTCAAGGGTCACAGAGGTCAACTTATGAAATTCCATACATTGAGATTGTTATCATAATATCTCAAGAACCACTGGAGATTTAAACTTCAAACTTAATGATAGTGTGTATCACCATAGGAAGACAATCTGATTAGATTTTGGAGCACGTAGGTCAAAGGTCAAGGGTCACAGAGGTCAACTTATGAAATTCCATACATTGAGATCGTTATCGCGATATCTCAAGAACCACTGGAGAATTTTCACTTCAAACTTAATGATAGTATGTATCACCATATCATAATATCTCAAGAACCACTGGAGATTTAAACTTCAAACTTAGTGATAGTGTGTATCACAATAGGAAGACAATCTGATTAGATTTTGGAGCACGTAGGTCAAAGGTCAAGGGTCACAGAGGTCAACTTATGAAATTCCATACGTTGAGATTGTTATCATGATATCTCAAGAACCACTGGAGATTTAAACTCCAAACTTGTTTAAATTGCTCTATGGCGGAGGCATCATTTTCGACTGCGCGCAGTCAAAATTCCATCTAGTTTTTCTTTCAATTGTTTGAGTATTTTAGCTTCTTTCTTGTAATCTATATTGAAAGTAGCTACATCATACTTTATAAAAGACTGGACTTAAAATTGAATATACATCTTACTATGGAAAATGAAACAAACGAAAATGCGTTGATAATGACATGAATTGCACGTTTTTGTAATATATGTTATCATGGAAATAATTCCATTGTTCTGTATAATGATTTCTAAGATTCAAGTTTGTTGACTTTCATTTTGTTTATGATACATTTTACAGAAATTGCACATTGTTGTTTTTAATTGTTTGAGTATTTTAGCTTCTTTCTTGTAATCTATATTGAAAGTAGCTACATCATACTTTATAAAAGATTGAACTTTAAATGGAATATACATCTAACTATTAAAATGAAACAAAAACGAAAATGCGTTAATAATGACAAGAATTGCCAGTTTTTGTAACATATGTTATCATAAAATAATTCCATTGTTCTGTATAATGATTTCTAAGATTAAATTTTGATGACTTTCATTCTATTTATGATACATTTAAATTTCGAATATGTATTTTGGATGGATCGAATGCTATATAAGATACCAATGAAATATACTGCACAGCTTCAAGTTTGTATACTTTACACATAGTCGTTACAGTCGGATGGATACAAAAATAATTCATGTAAATTTCGAATTCCTGGATGTTATTTTATTGTACAGAATCCGATAATGAGACATGTTTGTCAGATTTTCGGTTTGATGGTTTTGTTTTACCTGACTGTGCTTGTACTAAAAGCGACCAGTGGGCCGACGGCATTAAGTGCTCACCAATGGACTTGGTAATGAGGTTTTAATCCCTTACCAAAGGGCACGAGCGCATCGACTTGGTTTCGAACCAAAGTTCGAAATTATGCTATCATTGGAAAGATTAGAATATTATCTTTTTAATAAATGACGTATGTTTACACAAAATAATCATCCCAAATCATTTTTTTTTTTTTTTTTTTTTTTTTAAATAATTAAAATACAAAATAATAATGATCTAAATAAAACAGCCATTCTCTTATTTTGGGGAATTTGTGTTTCATACATGGCCTCTCCAGGCTGTCTAAAAAGGGTCGTGCGTGATTTATTGATTCATGATAATTATGTAAATAGCTCTATTACGATAAGAATTCGATAAAATTCAAACTCGTTAATTGTGCAGGCTGCCTTCGGTATTTACATGGTTTTTTGAAAGAAAATTGGAAAGGATTTTGCTTTGCACACAATGAAACATTTCATGTTAATGGTTAGTAGTATTTGTAAGATTCGTTCATATTTGTTCCTTATTATATATTGTATGTTAATCTATTTTATCTTTCAATGAAAAAGGTTTAATATTGAAATAAGATTTGGACTTGTGTCAGTTTTTGTAAAAAGCACTTTCATAAAAATGTAAATAGCTACATTGTACTAGTGTTCGTAAGATTCGTTCATATTTGTTTCTCATCAGATACCAAGTTAATCTATTCTCTTTTTCATAGACTAAAATGCATGATATTGAAACAAGTTCCAATTAAGTTTTTAGTTTTGTCCTTTCTTTGTTTATTCAAGATACCATATATGCACTGTCAAAAAATGTTAATAGCTGTATCGTATCAAAGTTCAATACGGATCAAGGCTCTACTCATCGTCTTGTAAATGCGTTTGTAACTTCCCACCTTGATTACTGCAACGGACTATTAATCAATCTCCCTAGCTCTCATTTAGCCCCTCTTCAACATATTCAGAACAGAGCAGCACTCATCACACGTACAAGAAAACATGAACACATCACGCCGATCATTCGTTCTCTTTGTATGGTCCATGGTTCTTTACGCTGCCCGCCCCCCTCCAACATTTCAAATGCAGGAATCTCCTCCTTAAATACAAGACCTTTCACAAATTTGCTCCCTCATAATCTCTCAGAATTCAGTACTCCTACAACTAATACTTCATCGTCCACAGCTCATTCTTCATCTAGTCCCAGGCTCTCGCACCCACACCCGCTATGGCCATCGTGTCTTTTCTGCCTGTGCCCCCCCCCCCCTCCATTTTGGAACAAACTTCCCAATGAAATACGCGAGTCCCCAACTTTAGAAACCTTAAAGAGCCTAGTAAAATATGTCGTGTAACTATATTTAGTTTTTGTTAATCAATAAAGAGCAAGATAAAGATTAATCATTATTATTATCATTATTATATCATTGTTATTATATCATTGTTATTATATCATTGTTATTATATCATTGTTGTTATATCATTGTTATTAGAATTATGTATCATGTGTTATATTAATGTAGGTTAACATTACTTTGTATTTTTTGTTAAGCGCCTAGAAACATTGTTAAG